AACCCCTACCAATTAGTACCGTAATTAACTCAAAGTGGATCAATTCTCATAAATAACTTTGCAGTGGGCCAGTTTTAGGGATTAAATACGGGAATGGGTCTACAGTGGAAACTTCTTCATAAAATAAATCTTATTTATCAACTGTTTATTAGTATGGATGGTCAAACGCATGTGTAATAATAATAATAATAACAGTAGTAATAATAATAATTTGTATATATGATACGAGACCGTGATTTGGTCTGTAACATTTTTTTCTTCTTGGGTTTGATATTGAGTTTTGTACTGATTATGAACATGAATTGATCAAATTAGGCGTATGTAACTCAAGACGACAACTTGATCGGAACCCTAACAGTAAGAGAAACGATCATGTACTCGGCTCGCGTCCGGCTGCCTGACAAAATGCCAACTGAGGAGAAGAGAGCTCTCGTCGAGGGGACGATCGTCGAAATGGGCCTTCAGGATTGTGCAGATACTGTAATTGGTAACTGGCATTTGAGGGGAATCAGTGGAGGAGAGAAGAGGAGGGTGAGCATTGCTCTTGAGATCCTAATGAGGCCTAGGTTACTGTTCTTGGATGAGCCTACCAGTGGTCTTGACAGGTAAGACTTCTACCATTTCTTGAAGGGTTAATTGCAGATAGACCCCTTGTAGTTCTATTGGTGCAGATAGACCGCCTGAGTGAGCTTTTCCGTTTCTCGTACAGAGGAAATTGTTTTTTTTTGTGTGTGACAAGTAGACCTCCTGAGGGTAAAAGAGTCAAAAAATTCACTTCGAGGGTTTATTTGCAACTGGGCAATTGTACACGGGGTCTATCTTCAACCAACCTTTTCCTTGAATGAGAAATCTATGAATTTGTATAAAATGTTGGATTTTTTTGTTCAAATTTATATCACAGTGCTTCGGCTTTTTTCGTTACACAAACGCTTCGGAGCCTGTCAAGAGATGGCAGGACCGTTATCGCGTCGATTCATCAGCCGAGCAGTGAGGTTTTCGAGCTGTTTGATCGACTGTTTTTGCTTTCAGGAGGTAAAACTGTCTACTTTGGCCAAGCTTCAGAGGCCTATGAGGTAATTAAAAGACAATTTATGGAACATTTTGGGTTTTCTGTGTTTTTTCCCCTCATAAAAATTTATTCTGAATTTCGAATTTGCAGTTCTTTGCACAAGCTGGGTTCCCCTGTCCATCTCTGAGAAACCCATCTGATCACTTTCTTAGATGCATAAACTCTGATTTCGATAAGGTGAAGGCTACACTCAAAGGATCAATGAAAATGCGGGTAAACAATGCAAAAATTCTCAACTGAAACTTTACCTTATGATCAGTATTCAACTTTACATTACCTGAAACTTATGCTTTTCGCTCATTCTACAGTACGAGAGGAGCGATGATCCTCTGGAGAAGATCACGACGGCTGAAGCAATCAGAAGGCTAACGGAGTTCTACACCCGTTCCCAGTATTACTATGCTGCAAGAGAAAAAGTCGAAGAAATATCACGAGTTGTACGTATCATAATATACTCGCATATTTTCTTCTTCTGTGGAGTATTGAATTGTGAACTTGTTGCAGAAAGGAACAGTCTTGGACGCAGGAGGAAGCCAAGCTAGCTTCTTTATGCAAGCGTTCACTCTAACAAAACGTTCGTTCATCAACATGTCAAGAGATTTTGGATATTACTGGCTCAGGCTCGTTATATACATTGTTGTTACCATTTGTATCGGTACAATTTACTTCAACGTTGGAACAAAATATAGCTCGATCCTGGTATGATTCAGGACATCTCTCTCAATAAACCAAATAAATCATAATTAGAAAGGTAGAAACGTAATTGATTTCTTCGAAATTCTGCTAAAACAGGCTAGAGGTGCCTGTGCTTCCTTCGTGTTTGGATTCGTTACATTCATGTCCATTGGAGGGTTTCCTTCATTCGTTGAAGATATGAAGGTATATGCTCTGCTTGGACGAAGATTAATCCATTACCAATTGGAGTTTCGATTGAAATTTTCTCTATGCAGGTTTTTCAGCGAGAGAGGCTCAACGGGCATTATGGAGTGGCCGCATTTGTGATAAGCAATACTCTATCGGCAATGCCGTTCTTGATAATGATAACATTTGTATCAGGAACTATTTGTTACTTTATGGTACGGCTTCATCCGGGCTTCATACACTATTTGTTCTTTGTGTTGTGCCTGTACGCAAGTGTCACGGTGGTTGAGAGCTTGATGATGGCTATCGCAAGTGTCGTTCCTAATTTCCTCATGGGAATCATCATAGGAGCTGGGATTCAGGTAAAAATATCCATCTCCATTTGAAAATAAAACTTAATCTCATTGAATTTGTGCACATAATTTCAGCATCCTGAGAACAATATCAGTTTCAATAATATGATTGGATCAGCAACAAATCTTGTAATATTTCAGCTAAAAAGCCCTCTGATATGATAGCTTGAAATTGTCATACTCATGTGCTTATTTGATCATAATTTCTACTTAAATTTCATACATTTCCCTTTGAAAACATCCAGTCTCGGGTAACAACCTAAATTTTCATCACCATGCTGCAGGGAATCTTCATGCTGGTCTCTGGGTATTTCAGGCTTCCTCATGACATACCGAAGCCTTTCTGGCGCTATCCAATGACGTACATCAGCTTCCATTTTTGGGCATTGCAGGTGAAATAGAATCAAGAAAACTGCAAACTTAATACTAACAAGTGAATAAAAATCTGACAGTCATATAACTCCGTGTTCAATCCAACAGGGCCAATACCAAAATGATCTCCATGGCATAACCTTCGATAACCAATCCCCTGACCTCCCGAAAATCCCAGGCGATTACGTTCTTGAAAATGTTTTCCAGATTGATGTTCACAGATCCAAATGGGTGGACCTCACAGTTCTCTTTAGTATGATTATAATTTATCGCATTCTCTTCTTCATCATGATCAAGATCAGTGAAGATGTGACTCCATGGATCAGAGGATTAATTGCGAGGAGAAGACTGAAGAAGAAGAAGATCAACAGTCGACGCCCTGTAGGCTCGATCGATCTTGTTCACAGGACTCCTTCACTCAGAGGCTATGTGGTAGAACCTGGTTCGAGCCAGTAGAGGTCTGAACCTGAAACATAAATTTTCACTTTACAGGGAAAAAAGAATATGTGATTATACTCGACAGCTTTATCAATGTTATTTGTTTGAATGCTTCTCTAATCCGAGATGATGATTGTTTGTGATTGCTGACAATGGCATGAAACCTTTCAGGAGTTGTTAGATATACTTATCTTTGAATTAATGGTTAATTGCAGAGACTCCCTGTAATTGTTGTAGATAAACCCCGAGTGAAATTTTTTGACTCTTTTATCCTCACAGAAAGAGAATTGTTTCTTGACAATAGACCTTCTGAGGGTAAAAGGAGTCAAAAAAACGTTTAGTCAGGGGATCTATCTGCAACAATAGAATTACAAGGGGTCTATTTGTAATTGGGTGATTGTACAGGGGTTTATCCGCAATTAACCCTGTTTGTTTAAATACTTTTTCTAATATGAAGTACTGAACTTTGTCATTGTGTGACAGTGGCATGAAATATTTAAGGAGTTAATAGATATCCTTATCTTAAAGAAAGTGGCATGCATGTGAAAGGATTATTGGGAGTGATGCAGGGGTATCACATGGTAATGTTGCTTTGTTTCTTTTTCCTTGCCATCTTGTGTTTTAATCTTGCAGCAATTAATATCTGCTGGTGGAAGTTAGATGGTGAGGCTCACAGGATAAGGGTTGATGGCTGGTCAGTGGTCACGATGAAGGGAAACCAAAATAAGAAGAGGTCACTAGATTCAATGAGTAATGCTGCATATATCCATTAATTTGTGTTCTCTGATGTGCAGGGTGACAAAAACGCTTAAGCTATTTTACATCTTATCTCCACCCTCTCAGTTTCTGAAAACAATTCAATGGGTCTTGCACATTGGATGGTTTGCAAGGAAAGGACCCTTGAAGTAGTGTATTAACATGCAAATCATCTAGGGAGTGTTAGGCAACCGTGACGTTTTTGCCGTTTCTGTTTTTATTTTTTAACAAAAACAAAAAAACGCCCCGGTTGCCACAAAAAAACGCGTTTGGCAACCGGGGCGTTTTTTTGACTTGTCCCTTTACAAAATCTAAAAATTAAACACTTTTCTCAAAACACCAAAAATGTGTTTTAAGTTTCCGTTTTTTCATCTAAGCCGCCGCAGCCCGCTCGCCCGCCTTCTTTGCCCGCCGCCCCACTCTCTCGCCCGCCTGGCGGCCACCGGCCACCCCGCCGCCGCTGCGCGAGCACCGCCCACCCGCCTGGCCTCGCCAGCCCCGACCCGCCGCCCTCGAGGCCGTCGCCACCTCGTGGGCATCGGCCGTATGACTGTCGTCCTAGCCACGGCCGAGGCCCGTTGGTCAGGGCCACCGGTGCTCGCCCTCGAACCTATCGCTCGCACCGTCGCCGCTTCCTTCGACCCCGTCGCCCTGCCAACCCATTGGTCGGCCACCCGCCGCCACCGCACCGCCCCGCGGCCACTCGCGCAACAGGATCTGGTAACCCAGTCCGATCCGCCGCGCCACTGCGTCAACCCGCGTCTGCCTACCCGTCAACCGTCGCCGCCCGCCCCGCACGGCGGACCGCGGCCAACCTCCACCGCTGTCGCAACCACTGACCACCGTCGCCCGCCCGCGCCCCGCCGACCCGTCGCTGTCTGCCACTCGCCGGGACCACCCGCCCGCCCTGCCGCCTGACCCCCGCCAGCCCGCCGCCGTCACCCGCCACCGCTTCCGGCCCGCCGCCGCCCCCGCCGTTGGCCGGCCGCCAGCTCTCGCGTTACCGCGGTACGACAGTCGTCGTTCTCCCGACGCCCGTCGTTGGCCCGCCGGCCACCCGCCACCCGACCGCCGCCGCCGTCCGCCCACTGCCGTTATATAAATGGTCAAACTAGTTTGACCAAGATGGTGTTTTCAAAACACATTTGAAAAAAAAACACCATGGCATGGTGTTTTTTATAAAAACATAATAAAAAACACATTGATTACCAAACACACCCCTAGTTATTCAGTAGATAGGGACTGCTGCATAGTTTCTCCTCAATTCTGAAAATCGAGCTGAATATACGACAATGGCTCATTATTTATTTGTTATTTTCTATGCCTAAAATTGACCCTTGGGGGTCCAGAATTGAAGATGTAAAGCTCCTTCAGTGGTGAACATGGCAGTTAATAGGCCAAGACAAGTTGGGTGATACCTGCAAACCTTCATTATGATCATTAATACTGCCCCCAAGAACTAGGCTAAGATAAAGCTGGCTATACCTCTGCATACCCTTTACTACATTTATTTGACACACCAAAGATTGAGATCTCAGAGTGTGAAATATAAGGAAAACATCATATGTAACAAACTATTATCATGAGGTAGTACTAGATCATCTAGTTTTATATAAAACTCTCTTTGTGTGATCAGATCACTCTGGCAATTTTTTTTTTAAATTTAGAGGGGGTGTAGTTTCAATCTCTAAAGTTAATGTCCATAGAGTGTTAAAAAGTCTCTTAACTGCTAAGCTTTTAAGGCAGTAAATAAAAAACATTGATGTTGGCGTAGATTGATTACCAACCTCAGGCTCGGTCTGGGTCCTCATCCTCTTCAGCGCAAACTGGTTGGTGCAAGGAAGAGAAAGCAATAGAAACCAAACCAATATAAATGAGTCATGTGAGAGTTAATGCTTCATGGAAGGACATGGACTTGTAGGGACTCTCGTTTCCCAAACTTTTCTCTCCTCTTTCAGTAAATCTTTGCGCTACAACAGCACGTTTTGCAAGCTGGGACTGGGAGAGAGAAACTAGGGGTATTCGGTCCAGTGAAGAAGGGTAAATTTTCACGAAACCCCCCATGAACTTTGTTTATCCCACTAAACTGCCCTGAACTTCGGGGTGTCTCACAATTAGTCAGGTGCCGTTTACAGGCAACCATGGGTATTTGGTCCAACGATACGGGTAAATTTCACAGAACCCCCTTGAATTTTGGGCCTCAAGACGCCCTGAACTTTATTTATTCCACTGAACTCCCGTGAACTTTGCGGTGCCTCAAATTTAGTCGTGTGCCATTTACCGGCGACAACAATAACAATTGAATTGGGATTCCCCCCTGTCTAGGATGTATAAGCTATTTGGCACACGACTAAATTTGAGGGAGGTGATGCAGGATGCCCCAAATTTTGAGGGTGTCTAGTGGAATAAACAAAGTTTAGGGAGGTCTCATGGGAAATGCCAAATATTCAAGTGGGTTTTTGAAATTCACCACGTACCCTTACATCTGTGTAAAACAAGGAAACCTACAAATTAGTGTCCTAATCTAAGGACTATTCTCCTCTAGGTGCATCAATCATCCAGTAGACAGGGACCACCATATAGTTCTTTCAGGACAGAAATTTACTCCTTGCCAAGGATATTGGTAGGCATTTATACAAGATAATAAAGATACTAACGTATGCACAACATTTTGTTCTAGTGAGTGCTTGCATATCAAACTTTATCCAAGTTGACAATAACTCTTTTTTTTCTGAACCATACTGATCACCACCTCCAATTTTAGACCTAGCCTAGTTCATGCAGGCCCTACCATGCAGAGGGGCTTGGTTTTAGCTGCATTGCATAGTATTTTCCAAATGTGGACACGTATTCTCCCAAATGTGGATGTCCTGAACTTGTACCTATCAAAGATGGGAATTTCCTCTTAATCCTAAGTGTTGGTTTTGTAATGTGGATGAACAACAGTGGGGAGTAGGGCTCTTCTTGATTGTGGGCATGATGGGGTTATGTTTGGCAGAACAAAACTAGTTTCAAGCCCTCGCCCTCGCCGGGCGAACAGGTAGACCAGGACAAACAGCCAGCCTTGATAGACAGAATTTTCTTGGCTTTTAAACCTGTTCATTTTCTTTTTTTCAAAACTAGTCAAATTTGAAATCTAGTTAGAAATTTAACGTTCATCTGTTTTTATAGTTAAATTAAAAAAAAATTAAATTTGTTTTAGAAAAATGTCCTTGTAGGAAAAACTTGATAACCTTAAAGTTTCATATTCTTCTGGTCATATTTGGACTATAGGTCACAATGGACAAATATAAAATAGCATTATAACATCCACTGTACAATTCTTATTCCAAGTTTACTGTGGTACTATGTACGATAATGAACTGTCTACAGTGAAGCAAAAATATGGGCCAGCCATCATAAAAGAAGCAACCCAGTATTCCTACACAACTTTGATATTGGGATTCAGTCAACTCCAGCAAAACAATAGGAAAAAAAGCTAAATGGCACATAAATACCCTATTGTTTCACCACCTTAACACTTAAATACCTAAGTTGTAAAAATTCGCACTTTACCATCCTACTTTGTAAAAAAATTGGCACGTTAGTACCTTTTGTTAGTTTTCATGGGGATATCCCTAGGAAATTGCCTTGACAACTAACAGAAGGTTTTAAAGTGCTACTTTCTTACAACTTAGGGTATCAAAGTGTTACTCTCTTACAATTTGTAATATTTAAGGGTAAAGGCGGTGAAACAATAGGGTATTTAAGTGTTAGTTTTTTACAATTTAGGGTATTAATTAAAGTGCTATTTTTTTAACAAGTTAGGGTATCAAAGTGCTACTTTTTACAACCTAGGATATTTAAGTGTAAATGTGATGAAACAATAGGGAATTTAAGTGCCGTTTAGCCATAGGAAAATGACTCGAATTATTAGCGTACCTACTTCATAATTCTGAATACAAGAGGCATCTCTCTTGAGAAATGAACATCAAGAAAACTATTAACTGTGAATGAAGAAAAGTGTTCCCCTGTTGTGAGGACCAATGAGAAACAATTTGGAATTTGACATAAGGTTTCACATTGAATCTTATTAGATCCTATGCTCAATCATTTATCCATCTATAAATCATAAATAACCAATTCATCATTAAATCTGTGGTATCATTAAAACTTTACTATGGCACACTGATATACCTGAAGAAGGGTCCTTCAGTTGCAAAAAGGAGCTTGGACTGAAATGCTTCGAGTACTGTACTAAATTATGACATGTAACAGCAGTTCAGAATTTGCGTACAGCAAATAATAGCTCAAAGATAAAACTCGAAAAAAAGGATTGGCTAAAATTATTTCACACACTACTAGTCCCACCATTATCATGGTGCATGTGCATATGTTGAGTTGTGTGTGTAAAAGTAGACGGCAGGTAAACTAGAAACCTTCGTAAATCAAGTATCATCGAAGTATTTGCTTTATAGATGGCATCCACATGCAGAGTAATGAAAATGGGAAACAAACGCGAACTGTGAACAATTTAAACAAGTACTTCCTTCAAATTAATTTTTGCATGAGGAGAAAAGTTTCTCAGGTAACAGACATGCATACCTACATATAAATATAGACATAATTATGATGCATGTATATTCACAGCTCC